TGCCCTGCCCGCCGTCACGTGCTGCCGGGGGAGGCGCCGCCGCGAGCCCGCCCCCGGCCCCGCTCCTCAGCAGCCTCCGCGCCGCAGGGGGAGCGGTCTGCAGGCTGCGATTCCGCTCCAGGGGCGAGATGCCTCCCTGCTGCGCGGTGGAGGCGGCAGCAGCAGCACGCGGCTGCCCCGCGCTCCTGGCGCCCCCGGCTCTCCCAGCGTGGCGTCTCGTGGGAGTCAGCCGCCGGGCGTTTGTGTGCCCGTTTTCTCATTTAATGGGACTCTTCCCTTCTTCCATGCAGTGTTTCCACCAGTGCTTACAACAGTCTCCTGCTGGTCCTTTTCCCCTAGAGCGCCCTAAGCAACAACCCCCTCTTAAAACAAATTGAGCAGCTCTGCACATAGCTGCTGTTGAGGTGATGCCATGGACAGGTGAAGTATTTAAGGGACATGCAAACAATGGGCAAAGCACCACCTCCATTCCCTAAAAACCAGAACAGACCAAGCAGCAGCCACAACCCCTACTCTCGGGGCTTACCTTGAGCATGCATATAGTTCAGGGGCCTTTCTCTGCTGTTATAAAACTCCCCTACCAGCTTTACTGATTACTACAGCCTCGAGTCCTTCCAAATGTAACCAGGTGAGCACCTGGAGATACTACACGAACAAGGAGATAAAGGGAGACTAGTGTTTGATAACGCATTTCTAGGTTTCCATCCAAACACCCTAGGGCAGCTGAGCTAAGAACGGGCGCACAGTACGCTCTGGTTACTGGGTTTCAATTTCAAACGCGACTCAAACATTTAAGGTCAAGAAGTTGTAATAGATGAGCATGATCATCAGTGTGCCTGCGCCCCAATGGGCAGAGGGTAGCAACCCATCAGACACAGCACTGCTCAAAGGCCAGGGCCAAGTCAGAGCTAGAGGGAGGAGACAGAGGTGCTGGTGCCGCTTTTGGCAAGACCGTCATTAAGATCTGGAAACCCTTCAACAGGATTTCGACAATAAATCCACACTACACTCGGAAGCAAGAGAGCGCAACGTGGAGATTATGTTCCACAACAGAACGGAGTTACTTAGATCATCCCCTTCCGGGCAGAGGAAGGCTGGAAGCACTGCAAGAGGCAGCTTGAGAAGACAAGTCTGTATTGCTCCAGAATCTGGTGTTGGAACGGACGAGGGGGCACAGAGCCTGCCAACTGCAGAGAGGCCAGGGGTACAGATCGCCAGAGGCCACTACATATACTCTTGTCCAAGTCCGCCACAGGGGCTAGGCTTACTCCAAGTCCCATTTCCAGATCCCTGCTTACTGCAAGCCTCTATTGCATCCGAAAGCTTGGCAAGTAGGTAATGCAGAAGTAATTCAATATTAACGCATGCATCAATCAGCCATATGAATAACCATTTCTCCTCTCTGCTCCTGCCAGCAACCAACCTCTTTGGTTTGCATGAAAATGCAGAGGTCAGCATGTAAGCACTTTGTCCTGCCCCACAGCCCTACTTTCCAGGCAGCTTTTACTCCCCTACTCACAAACAAAGGAAGCATCTGGCTCGAGTTCACCAGGACAGCAACCGTATAAAGTGAAGCTGCACAGACTGGTACTTCATCTACTCCCAAAGATCTGGATGAGACAAAGAAAAAAAGGCAGCAAGGATAATTTATAACGAAACTGACCTTTATATAAATTATAAACCCATCCAGTTTAAAGCAGATTGCTTGCAGTTGTGTCACTTAATTCCGTAGAAGGCCGAAGCATACATATCTTCCACAGTCATAAATTACAATGAATAATCAAGAGAAAGTTCAGGTAAGGCTGTAGATGCAGCAAAAAAATCCTTTTATATTAATAAAGGTTAAAATAAAAGGAAAACATGATTTAACATAATGCTCGCAAAATAAATGCAATTTTTGAACAGTTAAAACTGCTAAAATGATACCAAAAATGATGGGCAACACAGGAGGCATTGTACATTTTTCTTTTATGCAGAGAAAGGTAGGTGGTGAACTCTTGACCTCCATCCACAGAAGATTTATGATTTAAAGCAAAGAAAACAGTTGAAAAGAAAATCTAGAGAAGGATCTTGGCTCATGATCCCAGTAGTATAAAAGCAATAATTTCTCAGTCTGTAAACAGTAGTCTTGATAGCTTTTTTCTAACTTTGTATTTCAATTCACCACCCAAAAAAAAAAAAAAAAAGGACAAACAGCAGCAATGGGTTATATCTTAGATTTCTTATCAAATCTCATTAGGATGTGTGCTGGAGGGGAACCTGCTCTTTAGTAAGAAATATATAATATTTAACTGTACACAATTTATAGGAATTGAGAGAAGTTTCCCGAGGAAAATCAGTCGTATTTAGCCATTTGTGTGCACACCCATTCAGTCTCCTCTTTTAGAGATTTTACACTACAGTTAGTATAAAACATCTACAGAGTAACAAAAGTCATATGGTTTGACATTTAACTTACAATCAATTAGGTAGATGCTATCTACACTGGGAAATATTGAATGTTTTCCCTGAACTGGTAAGAAAATGGTTTCATACTAGCGTGGACCGGGCACAAATTCATCCAATGCTATTTCAGGAAGTGACTGAAACGTCCATCCGTCACCAGAGCTCAATGTAGCTGTCTAAAGCCAGCATATCCAGACATAGCACCCAGCTGTTTCGCTCCTGCTTCAAAGGGAACTGATGCTGAAAATCATGTTTTCAGCAAGTTCTACCACCTCATGTACACAAGGCTTTAAGGCTCAATCACACTAAGCTTATTTCACTAGGATTTCTGCCTGGTGCTAGGGCTGGTTCAGTTCTGACAGCGGCACCAAAGAGGCGGCAGGTGCAGCGTAGATCACTGTGCTATCTGGTCTTGTTCAGATCTATCTGGCATGTCGGTATTCCCATGCCAGCATTTGCCCAGAGTCCTGTATATAAGAGCAGCATCGCAGGTGGGGTTCTGCTGGAGTTAGCCCTGTGTAATTGGATTATTTATTTATTTATTTTAGCAAAACAGTTTTGCAGGGCCTCTCCTCAGTTCCACTATAGTAACTGCACTATCTTAGCAATGAATTTTTTTTTTCCACTTAAACTTCGTATTTCACATGCCTGGTAATGACTCTTAATTTAAAACGGCACATTCATTGTTCCAAAGGTATTTCTACATAATGAAAGATAGCTGCGTTTGCTCAGCAAAGTGTCTTGCTATAAAGCAGACCTAACACATTTTGATATTGTTTTCACTGGGTCCAAAGCACTTACCAGACACTGCGACTAAACCAGAGCACATCCATTACAATTCAAACTTGTACAAACTCCTCTTTCCCTTTTAGGATGGGGCTAAGTAAAACCAAATCCAGCAAGAGCAGGAACTTAAAATTTTACACAGGGATTTGTTTTAAAAAAATATTCTCGTCAACACTGTAGCATTTCTAACAAAAATGTATTCAGCAGAGATGACAACGCTAGGATTATCAGCTCTCTTAGAACTTTAAATATAGATTTCAGATTATAGTTGCTTTTTTCCCCATCAGAAGATAAGGAATCTGTAAAAGTCTGAAGTGTCCCTCGGATACTAGGTGCAACATGTATTTCTTGTGCCTATTTGTAATAGACCGTATTACTTTTTAAAAAACTAAAATAGCAGAAATGCAGATCTGATGGGAGCAGATGATGCAATTACATTTTTCTAACAGAACTAGTACTTGGATACTCATAAAAGATCAATTGCAAAAGCAAGCATACATTTTTTTCTTTTTTAAAAGAGCAACATTCTCAGCCTCATACCACAGTGGAAGCAAAAATGACCTCTGCCAACTTAAAACCATAGTAAGTCAATAGAACTCAATTCCATTAAAAATATTTAAGTTTTAAAGTTTCAAGCACCTAAGTACACTTTTTTAAAGTCATGATGATTGCTGTTTTACATTAAACTGACATAAAAATCAGAGATTGTGGTGTCAGACTTCACTGCAGATATGTACAAGGTCTCTAGCTTTTAGCTGAACCACCAATTCCCACCTTTCTAAATCTGAATGACCATGTTTTGTTTTACATCAGGCTCGTACTTTTTTAAGTTACCTTTCCATTAGAAAGTGATCTGTGTGCAAACAGCCCTCTCTGGGGTTCAATCCTTAGAGGAAGCTGTATTGTTACTTACGTACGACCCTATCTGGTGAACAGTGAGCATTGCTGGAAGGCTTTTTGTATAAATAAAAGATGTGCTTCCAACACAAGGTCACCTCTCCATGCTGGACTCGTAAGCTAAGCAGGGCCAGGTGGCTTGCCAACGAAATGGAGAGCTCCAGAACTAACCTGCTTCAGTGGAAGAGGCCACACAAGCTCCAATGTTGAATTTGGGCATCTACAATTTCTGCTTTTCTAAGGCAAGGACCGTACATAAAAAGTATAAACACTGTATGGTGATCAAATACAACTCCTTTGAGATATATGCTTTACACTGGATTTCTATTGCTGCTTCTAAAGACCATCTCCAGTTGTTCCTGGAGATCAAAAGGGAAGAAAGTTGAATTTTTCCTGTCGCAATATGCTTATGAACATGTATAAAAAGTGGTCAAACCCCAATGGAGGGTCCCTGCTTCCGATTTATGTACAATAATTTAATTGGCTGAATATACCTTTAATACCTAAAAAAAAATAAAAAGTAATTTTATGGTTTTAAGTCCTTCATGCATTTGTGAGGAAGTTCTGGATTAAAGTGATGGTACGTCGGATGTTGCTTCTGTCTGGGATTCTGATGTCACTCTGTCATGGAGACTTTATGCCTATGGTGCATTTCTTAAATCTTTAATTTTTTAACAGTATCAAGTCTCTTTTTCAGCAGCTCTCCAATTTCCTGAACTGAATGCTGGTAACTGCTCTGGACCTTTCCTTGCACAGTCTTTGTAAACTTTTTTTCTTCCTGTAAATCATCAAGAAAAAAAGTCAGCCTAATAATGTAATCACTTAAATCCCCACATAACTCCGCTCTAGTCCTCTGTACCAGTGAAAGGAGGGAATGGGGAGGGAAGGAAGTCAGACTGAACTCTTGCAACAACAACATTAAGGGCAGTATTTGAGTTGACTCAAATTATAATGCAGTCAAATCCTGTCTAAAACACCCCAAGACAGTAATTTTTCCCTACTTATATCAATATGAATTTTACCTATCGCAGAACCCATAGAAAATTTACATTCTTTAATACTTGCAGGAGATATCCTTGCATTTAACACTGTAAAACAGCATCCACGTTAGTTACAAAATAAAGATATCTGGATCTACCAAATACATATTAAACCAGGAGTCACTTACAGAAACAATGACAAATTCAATCCAGCAGCGAGCAATAAACAAGGAGTCTCACCCCAAATCCTATAGACACGATTGGGCTATGGCTCAAGGTGGGAAACTGGAGCTCAAGAATATCGGCATCAGTTTCCCCCATGTTATGAAACAATTCTAAACAACCTTCCCACTCCCAGGTTTCCAAACATGCGGGAGTTAGATGGCTGAGAAGAGTCTCATCATCTTCATGCTTCTTTAATTCCCATCATACATGACACCCCTTCACATTACAGTATAGCCAGAGCGAAAACAAAGTAACATCTGCTTCCCTATGTTGCATGTCATTGTTTCTGTGCAGATCTAAAGGGTGAGTTGTGCCGTCAAACAAACAGCAACCATAACCACCATTTCACTGGAGGGGAGGACTTGCCACCTCACAAGACACCTTTCAAATACACTCAAGACAGGGCAACATATTTTTCTATGCACTGCAAAAGTGAATGTTACACAACCATGGTAGGCCCTGGCTAGTACATTGTTAGTTATATTCCATAACAAATCAGCATTTCCTCTTCAACACCTAGCATGCCGGGGATAACTTCCATAAGCAGTCCCTAATTTGGTCTGGAAATTGCATGTGTCCAGAATTCTCTGTGCAAAGATACACACCCATTTTTAATACACTGGCTCTGAGTAGTGTTAAATTGCTTAAACATATTATCTGGCTCTGTCATGGTACAAGCATGTGTGATGACAACTAGCATCGCAAACAATCTGTGAGCCAAGATAAGGAAATTACACACAGGCAAAACTGAGTCAAATCATTTGGATGGACAAGGATTTTTCAATTTATATAGTTGAAAGAATAAGATTTATTCAAGAGGTTCTCTAGGGTTTGTTTTTTTCCAGCTGTTTTTGAAAGATCATGTCAAATGAGGTGCAGTTCCTTACCTGTGAAAGTAAAGTGTCCTCAAGGGACAGTTCTTCAAGTTTTAGTGCAGTCAACATTACTTCAAGCCCTTTGATATGATCTATAACATTGGAAGTTAATGTTTGTAGCTCAGTAACATAATCCAAAAAACTGGTGAATACAGGAGGCTATAAAAAAGTTAGGCAAAAAGTGATGTTAAAATACTTGTATTTATGTCCATTTTACATATCACAAAACATTCAGCCTACTATATTGATAAAAATAGACTGCTATATATATGTCAAACCTAGAGATGTGGTTTTTAAATATAGCTTCTCAACTTTTGCTGACAATATTTTCATTTTGCAAAATGGCAGTTTCCCACATCCCAGACATGAAAGCATGCCTGTCTCTCAGTTGCATCCTGAACCTGACAACTCTCATTGAGAAAAGGTTATTGAAATGGATGGACAGGGGGAGGGGAAGGTGTCAAGTTTTGGTTTAAATGAACTGGAATTTTCCAACAATAACAAAAAAAAAGAACACCAACAAAAAACCAATTTTCATCCAAAAAATTCCTAACAGCTCTATTCAAGATTACAAACATTAACTAGTCTGGGAATTTAAAGAACTAGGAGGATGAGAAGTGCAGTTTTGTTGCATGTAAGACCTAAAAGTTCATTGAATTTGATGATAACCTCATTGCAGAAATCTATCATTTTCAAAACAAAGACATGAACTCAAAATAGCTCCACACAAAAAAATCATACCAACTCCATACAGACTAGTGTATACACAAGACTGTTAATAAGTTATATGCCATTAAGAAACAAAACTTTCACAGGCTATATCAAAGTTATGGATAATACACTTTCACCACTCAATTTTAAAAGGTTATTATTGGGTAAAACAATAGATTCCTTCAGGTAGAGCTAGAATGGATTTTCTAGTAATGGGCTACCAATCTCAGCACTGTACTTCAGCACTAATCTGTACAAATAGTAACTGCAACCTGCAAAATTAAGGACAAGTTTTGCAACTGAAGTTATCTACTCCACGCAGGTTTCAAAACAGAGAAAATATAACCATAATTTCTCCAAAGAATAAGGCAGCTCCTGTAGAGATGCATGATAATTTTTTAAAAAGAGGTGTGTCTAAGTGATTTAGGATTCCATCTTCTAAAGCAACTTGAGAACCTTAAATGTTATAATGGGATTCAGGTTCTTAAATTATTTTTGAAAATTCTACCCACCAACGTTTGGGAAGCCACGTAAGACTTGAAACTTGTCTCTGCTGAATCACCTACCATAACTATGCTGGTTTCTTTTTTTTTCTTCTTCTTTTTTTGCAAGTTTGATTTGAAGGGTCGGAGGACACTGTCACAGTAACTTGAAACCCACAGGGTGATGGAGAGCGTCTGAAAGGAAGACAGACAAATACACAAGTACATTAACAAGTAGCATCAACAGCATCCAAGATGATGTTAAATCAGTGTTTCATCCTTTATTTAACGCCCCCCCCAATAGTTAGAAGATGAAAGGAATGCAAAAGCAGCACTGAGCAAAGGAAGTACCTTAATTACTGTATTCTGGTAGGTCTGGACAGTCTATTTTAAAATATCATATCCCTTGTTTTCCAAGTAACAACTCACTTCCCAATAATCAAAAGGAATGGGCTGTTACACCAAGATACAAAAATGTTAAGGTGACAGAATGTGCTCCTCTTAATTTCAAGACGAAATAAATAGGTGTATTTTTGCATCATCACTACTTGAAAAGTCCCAGGCAGTAGAAGTAAGGTACTGGAGAAGAATTTAAAAAAGAGGGCAGAATATGCATTTCACCTTGCAATCCGAGGATGATTGTTCAGGTGGAAAGAATTTTAAATTAGCTCTGCAAATTTTCCAAAGACACTAAGAATTACAGCAAAGGAAAAATACTTACCTCAACAAAGAAGACTAAGTTTTCTAAAACATTCGGATGAGTTTTCAAGATGCCATCTCTGACTTCAATCAAGTCACCTTTACATTTATTGAACAAATCTAAAAAGGGGATGAGAAAACCTTATGTTCTGAATAAGGACCAACATATTTACTTCTGAATTTTCTGTATGGTGCACAACTTAAGACACAAAAACTATAAAAAGAGCTAGCTACAAATTGGTGTATGATTGAAAGCCTTTTCTCGTATGAATAACATTCTGAACTGCTGTGAACTGCCCTGCATACAAAGCATTTGACAAAAAGCATTCAATACAGTCTCCAGTGTTTTGGGCTGTGTGCATTCCCTAAGTCAATCTATAGCCAGGAACAAAGCAGAAGGTCACACAACGAGGGGTTTCCAAGATTTGGCACCAGCTTGTTTAAGGTGGGAGATACCAAGAAGTTCTGCTACCTTCTTTTTAATTAAACATTAATTTAAAATCAAAAGCCAGGAACTCTGCTTACAAGCAAGACAGCTAGAGTGCAGCAGGTGACAGGAAGATAATAAGAATAGAAAAAAAGCCAGGTTTGGGGGATTTTTATATTTCCCTTTCCACCTGGATTGTTTTTTGTTTGTTTTTTTTTTTACAGTGCCTTCCCTGCCCAGACAGAGAAAGTATGATCTCGTTCTCTACAACTGCTCTACTGATGCAAGTGATGTATTTCCCATCACGGTGGCAGAAGCTGACTGTTAAGCTTACTAAGTGATTTGATTCCAAAGCAGGGTTTTTTTTGATCCTTTCTATGCAGATTTCACTGCTTGCAACAGGTGCTGGGCTGACAGACCCAGGGAATGCAGCACACTTGTGCACACATCTGATGCAATAAGGGCAGTCCCAGTTCTCTGAGCCCATCTCATAAGAATACCTTCACCTTGACCTGCAGGTGAGGTTCTTTTACTCCTTGGTTCCTCAGACTGCTGATGAGGTTACCTTGCCTCATTGGATAAACTAGCCCGCAAACTGAAGATCTGGCTCAGATCTAACTAATTTCATGTAACCCCAGCCAGAATTCAGACATTTGCAACTTTTGGCTGATGCAAGACAGTAAATTGCATTAAATAGCTTAAGCCATTTTTCTTCCCCTTTTAAAAAGAATGTGAGATTATAATTACATGTAAAACGTGCCAGAGTAGGCCTCTACTGCTGCATAGGGATCTTTGCAATAATGAAATCACTCTGCTTAAAAATGCAATCTAGAATTGCAGTGACCCTGGCTCTTTGCTTTAAAATTGCATGAACACCTGGAGTAAAGAATAAGTATTTAAAAAAAAAGTAGATTAACTGCCTGGCTTATTCTTAGCTCACCATGAACCAGGACTAGAAAGCTGGTACAAGACCATCCTTTCTACTTGGAGAAAAACAGGACCACAACAGGACAGAACATTCCTCGGTATGCAGCAATCTGAGGACGAGATCAGTGGAGCCTAAGGAAATCCTGCCTTCACTTGCAAATGTCCTATTTTGTTTTTAAAATGCTTTGAGCCACTTTGCTACACTACACTCCAAGACCCATGCTACGAAAAAGCCCTTCCCGTTAGAAATAACAATGTTTGAATAATACCTGGACTACATACTTGTCCCTGCATTACTACTTACCTGTTAATTGTTCTAGTAATGATTTTAAACTATTCCCTATCCTCTCCTGGATGTCTGTTGAATCTTCTGAAATAAAAAAGGCTATTGTTAACTCTCTTATATATGTTAGAGATAGATCTGCTTACAAAAACTCAAGAGGCATTTAAAAAAAAGGACAATATGCAATGCCCCCAAAAATAAATGGAATTGCTTTCAACTAGTACCTCAGTATCATTGTAAAAATAGACAACTTAAGTATACAAGATTAAATAAAACCCACTTCCCTGAATGACACAAGCTGAAGTGTCATTCAAAAATGGACATGCAGTTAATTTATTGGGTTGACTGCAATTCATTCACATAATTAACTAACACACAGTAATTTCAAACTGTTGGTCTAACCCCCACTACACCCCATGAGCATCTGTTAAGCTTTTGCCCTCCCCACATACTTACCTAAGCCATTGGTATCTAGTTCATAAATATCACTAACAAGATAAAACAAGCTAGTCTGGCACTGACAGCTGCCATTGCTGAAGAAGCCAGCCATCCGGGTAGGAGGAGGGCCAAGGACAGGATACTAGGCAAGAAGCAAAGAAAAAGATAAAGGTGTTGCAGCTTTTCCTTAATTGGGTAACAGTGTCAGTCTTTGGCACATCTCAGGCAGATTTCACAGCTATAAACTCAGGATCAGTTAACTGTACTTTGCAGCCTGCTGGATGTTACAAGATGCATTCAGTTTCTCTGCTTGCATCCACGTTCATTTAAGATTCTGGGATAGTGTTTCTTAATGGATACCTGAATTGTCTGCTCTAGAAACCTCTTCCCTGAATCCATGGCCACTTCCAGCTGCTGAAGCAGAGTGCGAATTGTATCAATCTTGGATGAAACTCCATTCTCAGCAGCCTTTTCAGAGTTCTTTGGCTGAAAAGCATGACTAAGACTTGGAAGTCCGCTTATTAGCCTTAAAGTTAAAGATCGGATTTGCAACCAGATGGTTTCTTCCTCTAATGACAGTCTCCTGTGTTCTTCAGAAATATCCCTAAAAAAAAGGCACCAAAATGCTTTCAGGCAAATGTTTTATATGCATAACATGGTAGCAAGCTTCTGCATACACTTTATTATTCTCGGGCACAAAGCTTAGGAACAACGTGCAGAGAGCACAGGGATGGCTGGAAACGCTGTTCTGTTAATACGAGCAAGGTAAGTGCATAGTTAGAAATTATGAACGAAGCTGCTATGGTTAAATTGGTACAGTTAGCCAGTCTAAGGAATACTTAAGTAACAGAATGTGCCTTGAAAGGACTTTTTTCTCTTTGAAAGGTTGTCATGCTACAGTTTGGGACCTTTCTACTCACCTGTCTTTTGGATCCCAATTAAATAAGACCGTTAAGTCTCTGTTGTCACGCAAATCTTTCCATGGAATGTCGTCCTCCTCTGGACTCAGACTCATGGACTTTATACTTTCTTCTAAACTGGTTGATCTAGCACATAAATATTAGTATCATTAAACCAAAGGTTTAAAAGTTAAAGGCAAAAGCCCAACCCACTGATCTAGGCCATGATCCCTAAAGAGAACAGTTAACCATGGCATGTTAAAATATCAAAACTATTATAAATAACTTACTAGTGTTAAAAGAAATGCTTATGGGGACAGGACTCTGGTAACAGAGATGGACTAGCTGGGTTGCAGCCTAGCTGAAGGTAGCAAATGTTACTGCAGAAATTAGGAGCATCTAGCAAGGGTATTTGTTTGTTTTTTTAATTTCAACATATTCCATCAGGGCCCTCAAGCATAAGCTTCCCCAGCTCCTGGGCAGCAATAGCACAGCACAGCACAATTTACAGAAGGGGAAACTAAAGCTTAGACAGAATAAGGAAGGCAGCGCTGAAGACTTGGATTAGGTAGGATAGCAGTGCCTGCTCAGAAAAGGCCATCTTCCCCATGCAGAAGTCCCTCACTGGGTTACTGTTCCTGCCAGTGTACTTGCCTCTGCCCCACACTTACATATTTGCTTCAAGTAAGAGGTCTAGCAACATCCGTTCAGTGCGGACTTGTGCAAAATGGAGTGAGGAGTTCAGCCTGTTCCTAAAAGCAATGAATTCTGGGATCTTCTCAAATGCACCATACTTGTAGGCTTGAATGATATATTCTGAGGTCTAGGACAGAACACACACCGTTTTCTGCATTAGTTACTTAGGGAATTTTAAAAAGTGTCAAGAGTCTTAATAGGGTTATTTCAACAAATCAAATTACGACAGCTATTACTAAATGGAGGCATGAAGTCAGCAAGCACTCATCTGCCAGAAGCTGGCAGTCCTACGCACCCAAGTCTCCCAGACTCAGATTCTTATGTAGCCTTGATGCCCCCTTTCACAAAGCCAGACCGTTCCTTGGACAGCATGTCTATCGTGGTACGGATGCCTTTATTAAATAAAGGAGCTAATGGTAAGAAATATCAGACTGCTGCCACCAACATAACTGACAGGCAACTTGTTTTAAACCATGGAAGTTTCTGCTTTTCTTGAACCTCGTGATGTATGCGATAGACATGGATCATCTCATTTGAGAAAGCTGTTACCAAAAAAAATCTAGTCTGCATTTTCTTGCATCTAACACAGACACATGCCACTGTGTCATTTTAACACAGGTGTAAAGAATTACACTATACTTTTGCTTCTCATTTTTATTAGGTTTTGAATGCAGGGTCATAGGACAGCACTGTGTAACACGCACACATTACAACAGAATACGAACACAATGCTGAAGGAAACACTGGGTTGAATGCGACAGCTTGCTTTCCCGCTTCGACAAAATGCAGCGATAAAGGCTCTCGACCAACACTGCAGGTCCATCCAATGGAAGGATCTCTAAGGGTAGGGGGCCCTATACAAATACCTATGTTGATGTCAGCATCTACATTTAAAGAAATACAATACAACACATGCACTAAGACAAGATTTTAATCAAAACTAAGCCAACAAATGTGAAACCCTGGCAAATCAGAACACCACCCATGAACAAAATTAGGGGATGAGTTTACACCTGACAGACCCTGTATCAAGGATAGCTGGTCAGCCTCCTCCTGTCGCACACTGGATACCACACCAGCCAACTGCTACCACATTTCCTTATTTCTGACAATGTCCTCTTAGCCGGTTCTGTCTCATAATTTGGACATGTGCATTATATGAAAGGTATGTCAATAGTCAACAACGTACCCTCTGATAAACAGCCTTGCAGAGCTCATGTCAGGCTGTGGGATTGCGCCATGGGCGCTAATTCAACTGCATTGACGTGGCTTTTAAATCCCCATGGGACAGCTTGGTGTTCTGTTTGCCTGGAGAGATTAAAGACGGACGGACACAAGAAAATTGGAGAGATTACTTGCGATTCTGCAGATTTAAAGGAGGACTGCCTTTAAAAGGATGATGCCTTTTTAGTTTTGGTCAGTACAGTTACAATTGCTGCTCTTTCCTTCTACCTGTCCTTTATATTCTCTCATAACACAAAAATGATGCAGTGTCCCATGAAATTCCTGCATGTTCATTTTAGGACTCTGACTGGGATTTAATTCACCTTACAACAGAGTATCAAAGCAGCAAGCTAGCTGAAAATACATTCACTTACAACTATTGCTACTGTTCACCAAGGACAGCTGCACTTTTGAGAGACGGACTGCTTCAGGGAGAATCCCGTGGTCAGAACACTGCATGGCATGCAGTATTCGATCTCAGGACCACAGAGACTGTATGTATTCTAGGGAAATCTGGAAAACTTTTCAACACAGACTCTTCAAAGCACGGAGCAGGCAGTATATCTTAGCCCAGTGAAAAAGATAGCTTTTAAATAACAGTCCTCCTTTAACACTGCAGTTAGATGCTGTGCTGGGATTGGAAGGGGATCCACTAAACCGATGTAAGCGCTGTTAGCGGGATAAAGAGGCAATCCTAAATGAACAGCAGAAGGGAAGGGACCAGGAGGTGCTGAACTTGTGAGATGGCCTCTGCATTTGGAAACCTATCTTCCCCCTAGTTTACATGCCATCATCCTGTACAAACACCACTCTGGAAACAAACCTTCATCTCTTGTAATTCTAGGAAAATCTGAAAAATGCCAGAGGGATTCTGGCATTTTCCTATAATCAAGCAGGATTAAAGATGAATACTAACGTGCAAGCAAGCAATCCTTACAACAGCCTACTTCCCATTTTACAAGCTTAAATGCTGATATTTAATCAGAAATAATCTAGGACTAGTGACAGTGTAAATCGATGCTCGTCTCAAGGAAGTCAAGGGCAGGTCTGTCTAGCCTTTTCAAAATAGACTGTCTTCCTTCCACAAGAAGGAAAGGAAAACACGTGCCAGTCTTCTGAATTGTATCCTTGGTCCAGTTGTACAAAGAACAAAATTGTCCAAGTTAATCTTTTTCCACTTGTGATTCAAACCCTTTGAGAGGAGGTACTAATGGAGTATAATAGGCAAGAGGTACTCCACGAATCCTGAAAAGCATCTGAATTGTAGAACTGGGTGGCAGTGCTTCTCACATCAGGCGTATCCTAATGCCACAAGGAATGGGGCTTAGTGGCTTATTACGTGGACAGGTACTCTGAGCTACCAAAAAAAGAGGCCAGGGTCTTTTCCATCTGAAGCTCCTTTATGATTCATACAAAACAAAAGATCCTTGTCCAAAGTTGATGCCAAGACAGTAATGTTAGCTAAATCTGGGCTGTCTTCCAGCTGATCCCTTGCCTCTACAACGTAGGGCTCTAGATTAAGTAAACTGCATCCATTAAATGTTTTCTTCAAATCTTCATATCTTCCTTTTGGCATGCTGCAGTCAGAATCGCTTTCACAGAGCAGAAGTTTGTCTTATCTGTGTCCTTCTCCACTAACAACCGCTGAATTACTTTGAAACAAATCCAAAACATTTTAACAAAAAGCGAGATTCACCCCTCATGGAAACAATAATAAAAGTGACTACCAGCAACAGACTCCAAACTCCTGCTTGGTGGAAAGTTTTTGTTTTGGTGTCATGCCCTTACTTCAGTGGTATGTACCCACCAGACACTTGATCTTCAAAAGTTAAGATCAGCAGTTTAAAACACACACGTAAGTTAAGATAAAGTAACAGAACAAGTTCTTAAAACGCCATACATTCACATCTTTCTCTGCTACTGTACCAAAGGTTTGGATTGATCTTGCCTCGAGCAGAAAGATGGACTAGCCCTATTTTTCTGATTTCCACCTTTAGGAGTAAAAGAACTGACAGCTACTGAGAGACCCAGAGAATTTTCCTGTAAGATGCTTGCATTGCAGGTATCATATAAGCATTTTTACACAGCAAAGTGAACTATTAGATTGGACATTGGCTTAGGAACCACAAACTCCTGGAACATTAATCTCTGCTGAGCCACAAAGCATGGCAAAGTCACCACCCCTCTGCGTCAGGTCCTTTACACTGGGAAACTGGGAATCGCTTTCTCCTGCAGAAACTCCAGGGATATTTTGACAATCAAAGGTGTGATCACTGCAGTGTAAATATTATTACATGGACTGTTTGTTCCCTGCTCCAAGGGATATGCCTCATGAATTCTTCCTGGGGAGCAACAGTTTACATGCATCCTCCACTAAACCAATGTTTTCTACAATAAATTCTTGCCAACAGATCAGGGAAATCAGTAAGTGCAACATCATTTTAATTACTGACTATAGTGTTCTATTCAGCCAATGGCATTTTGGTGTAGTGCTAGGACTGGATACCAGGAAAATTCTGGCATTTTCCATATGGGCATACCAAGATTCTTCCAGAAAATGTGGTGCTCGAGTAGGAAAGTCACGACAACCACCATTACACAAACAAAGAAGTGAACAGCTCTGGAGGCCTAGCCAAGGGACACAGGTTTAGGAAGCATCAGTGCTCTTCTGGGAGTTCAGCTACCTTTCTTCACCATCAGTCCCATTAAAGTCTGTTATTCAATCAGGAAGCACTTTCTTTAATTTTCAAGCTTTACTGCTTGTGTATTCCTGCCTGTAAAACACAGCTGCTCGTGTCCCCTATATTCTTCATGACTCTGCATATTCATCCCACTGAAAGTGTGTCAACACCTGTGCCCATGAGCAGCAATGCTATTACTCACCATGCACTGAGAAATCAAAAGCTCCACTGCCATTATTAAGATTTAGGCATGTACCCCTTGGCAAAGCACTGCAAGCCCCTGGGGGTATGCCTACCCCAGTTTGAAGACCACTGCTTTAAGTCATGCCACTTGCTAAAGGCAGATGAAACAAAAGCTTCTATTACCTCTGCAAAACCCACAACCTTCATCTTTTACTCCAAAATATTGTTTCTACTCTTCAGTTTTATTCTGCTTTACTGGTGTGGAAGTTTCCGATAAAGTTAGTGTTATTTGTATTCTTTTCACTTTGCCACCATGCTCCCGCAGGAGCTGCATCCCAGCAGCCTGGGACTCCCGAGTACAGTCATTAGAAAGTTATCCCATTTCAACCAATGCACTGCAAGGTTTCAGATCTAAATGTTTAGAACATCAGGATCTTAACAAGGCACCCCATGCCAAAAGGGTCTTCCCCAAATCCTAAATGTGATGGTGTAAATCACAGAAGCTGGCTGTATTATGTTTTAGTTATGTTAATGCAGAAAGTACTTATTCTTAGGCATCATACAAAGATGGCAACACCATTTCCCAAATGTAACTAGAATATGTAGGATTCAAGAAACTAAGGAGCTGGAAGCAGAACTCCAGAGTGAAATGATGTCCTATGGTGAAGTTAACCATATAAACAAGAAATGATGGCTAAATAAGATTTACCATAACCATGACAAACCAGCATATTATCTCTGCAATTTTTTTTACTGCAATCCCACCAGTGTAAGTCCCATACAAGTCTTGATATTAGACATGGTCTCCTATAAGCTGTCTGGACACAACTGTTCTGATAGCAGTCAGGGTAGAAGTTACTTTCACTTACATCTTTCTGGTTGGAGTGGAAAAACCTGAGTGCAAAATTGCAGGATTGGGATGCAGCAGCATATTGACCCAGTGCCTCTGCATAGCGTGTCAGAAGGTAACTGCAATACAACACAATAATTGGAGTTAAACACCAGTACACCGTGCCCCAGGAACTGCAATTTCTTTAAGATTGCTCTGAACAGAGAGCTGAAGCAAACTTTGGCCTTTGTACACAATACTCAACAGGGAAAGAGAGGGCTCTCAAACTGGCTTGCTTTTACCTAAAGATGCCAGTTTTATTAGTGGGAGAAGCTATATATTTAACAGTGACAGTGCACAGATGCCATTTCCATTTCCTTCTAGCCACAATAGTCTCTTTAAGTAGACTATACCTACAAACAAGTGACATTACAAACTATTCAAGAGTCTTCAGGGAATTTATCAAGTGCACTGTACAACAGCTATCTTGAGCTTCTATGACTAGTCCTGCACATCAGGCTAAGCTCTCTCAGTGCTAGACTTACAATTTCAAAAGGACGTTTTCACAGCAAGAACACTGTAAAAGCCAGTGGTACCAAGATTTTGAAGCCACCAAATACTAATATGCAAGAAATGAATGCTACAACAAAAAGCAGATAGATAAATGCTATGGTACAGCTGAAACAGATTTCAGGTCTATGTTTTACTTGCAAGACTAATACACATTTACACATAACATCTTTTATTAAAACTAAAAAATATATATTACTGACTTCTAACATTATAAGATACTGAAAACAGTAAGAAAGTTAAACATGGCTAGTGGCAAGCTGGTGTGACCAGTTGTTCTGAGTACATACTACCCACCCGATGGTGTCGTGCTGTATGTGCTTTGCATCAAGGCTGGAATAGAGCTCCACAACAGGTTCAAATGCACCAAGCATGCAGTAGATTCGAATAAGCAGTAATTTAAACTGAGCATTAGAAGGGCTGTGAGATAATCCTTCTTCTAATAAAGTCAGGGATTGCCACACAGCCAACTCTTCACCTGGAGACGAGGAGACAAATGTACACAGGAGTTAAGTGTGAACAGGGATTTATAGAGCAATGTTTGAAACATACAATGCCATAATGGACTGGAAAGTTTCTGCCACCTTTAAATTGCACATTTAAATTGTGCTCATCACCAAGCCAAGGCATGTCAGTGTCTCAGAAACAGGTAACGCAATATTCTCCTTGGGTGGGCAGGGGGAAGGAGGTTCTAGCAGAGTGGGGCTCCCACTAGAAACATCTTGCTATCATCCACCACATACAGTGCAGTGCTATGTGTGTGGGACAAGTGAATCCTAGACAACTTAGTATTTCTAGGTCATAGCCAGGTGCTTTTAGATACTGCTGTACAAAGAGCTACTTGAGCAATCCCTGTGCCCCAGCCAAGCTGGGGGATCTAAGGGGCAAGTTCACCTGCTGTGGGGAGCCCACCATGGGATTTGCTAGGGTGAGGACCTGCTGAACTGGCTGACAGAAAAACAGAGAGGTAGGGAGGGAGAATAGCTGTGCAACCCTCTGAATCTCAGACTTGGAGGGCATACAGATCTATGCCAGCTGTATAGCAGAGCAGATCTTTTGGCCTCTGCAAACTAATGATTATCTAATCTGAAGGGAGTATGGTTCAGTTTCTTGATAAGCGAACACAACACACTGATGTAAGGAGAACAGTGTTCTGAAGAAAAAGCAAGCAGGGACTTACCTTCGTCTAGCCACAGATCAAGGAGCAGGTGAACTGCAAGCAGACAGTAATAATCTGAAAACTGCAATTCAGTTTTCAAACAAGATTTCCCTAAAAGATAAAAGATGGCACTAATTCACAATGCACAGAGTTAAAATGGCAAAAGTTAATGCATTCTACAAATGGGGCCAATAACTGCATCATTTAATGAAGGTGGCTGTCTTTCAGGCTAGCAACATTTGCAGGACACTGCCAGATTTATTAATAAACCCAAAATATCTTTATCTGTTATTGTTAAGAGTAGGAAGTGTGAAAGAATTGTAAGCCTGTTGCTTTTCCTTGTTTGTGCTTTTTTGATTCTTTCAATTTGGAACCTGCCATTTCTCAAGTCACTCATGGAGCCATTTCATTTGTGAGTAAAGCCACTTTCATACTTGTTGTAAACACTAATTTAATACCGAAGATACTGGGTTAAGACACCACTGAGCAGTACTGAAAAAAATAAAATCATGAATACATTTTTTAAATCACACCTTTTCAGATATGCAAAATTCAATGATTTATTAGTAAACATCTTGGCTAACACATTTCTAAAGCATACCAATTGTTTTAAGACAAACATGATTTAGCAAAACACTGAATCTGAAGATGTGACAAGGAACAACAACTACGTCCTCTAATTTATATTTAAGGCACCAGTCAACTGAAAAAAAAAGTAACTTTAAAAAGAACCCCCCCAACATTTTATATAATACCTACAATGTTGCCAACAAAGAGAAAATGTAAAACATTGCCTAAAAGTTTCTTAGAAACTGTGCTTTTAACACAGGCGGTGGGCAACAAAGACATATTTTGGAAACAGTCCATGAAAAGGCCCAAGTATAAGGGTACAGAAATACATTTGTTTCAAGTTCTCTCACCAAACTGCAGTCCATGATGGTATCTTAACATCAACTCTCGGACAACACTCAGCTTTTGTGTCTTGTCAATGCTGTGATAGAGGCCTAGCACTCTTGATAGTTGTACCACGCACAAGTGCTGTTGCAAAGCTTTGATGTCAGCTGGTAATGCAAGATCACCATCTACTGGTGCTGACAAAGGTATGACTCCAAGCAACTGATTGATGAACTATAAAGCAAACACAAGACTGCATTTTGCAATGTATCCAAGAACCTCCAATAATCAGTAGCAGCAATGGGGACAACATATCTAAGTCACATGAAGCAAGCAACAAACCTTAAATTCCTTTTTCATGAACCGGAACCATCAAGTCTATAAGGCCATTTTGAAATTTACAGTTAAGAGCTTGACACTGTAATGTGGTGAACAGTCTGGTCCCAATTCTGTTAAGTGCTTAACTTTACAAAAACGAGAGGTCCCAGTGAAATTTACATGAAGTAAATTAAAAATAATGTCCATCAGCACCAGTTAAGATAACTTTTACTCTGGGCTGCAAGTGATTTTCTTGGAAAGTTAGAATTCAACCTGTAAAAGGCATCAAGAATCGAGCTTGGTTTTTTAAATTTCAATTTGACACATCCCCAGCACCTTCCCCTAGCTAAAAATGGCTCCAACACTGCAATGATTATGACTTTAATGCTGTCTGGGATGGCTATATGGAGCTTAAAATGTTAGCAGTGAACCAGTTGTAAAAATGCTCCCAAAATTGCTATCGCTGGGGAATTTGAGTCAGTGTTAATAGGTGGGGGCTTGGTTTTGTTTTTTTAAACAACATATCATTGTACAATGTATACAATTCATACATTTTACATATAGTATATTACATAATATAATGCATTATGTCTAATAGAAGATATGCACTATACACAACAGGGATTTGTTATTTAAATGTACCCCTGACACACACAAATTGTCAATTTATAATTTACAAACATTTGTTAATGGCTTCCACTAGGTTTGTGTTTCTAATCCTTCCCAGGTTTGTATTGCTAATCCTTATCCTCAGTAATTATACATCAAGGGAGAGTGGCTGGATTCCCAGATGCCAAAAATCACCCAACAAACTACTCATGACTGCAGAAATGCTCTCTCTCAATTCAAGTGTAGATAGGGCATGTCTCACGGACAGACTCTGGAAAGAGAGAGTTTTTTGGTCACCTCTTTATTGTTGCTGATGTGACCGCTCTTTTAGCTGGATCTCCTGTTATGTTATCAAAGATTCACGCAGTGCCCTCACTGGGATTAGGAGATTTGACACAGAATGCGAATGGGACAAACGAGGTGAAAGGAGAAAAATGTTTAAAAACAAAAGCAATGAGAGCTAGTAGACAGTAAGCCCACATTATCCAGCCTAATCTTTCCAACAGAATGAACCTCAATTTCCACGTGGACTTGTCTGCATCTGATATTTGGGTCACTGGGAGTTGTGCACATTTAAAAAAGGAAGATAAGCCTCCTTGGGGTGTTGGACATTTGGGCTCTACTCCACATCTCAGACTGTGACAGATAATTTAAGAACAAGAGCAGCAGGGGAATACTTGGTTGAAAAATGAAAAAAACCTGGCAATTTATCAATTAAACTGCATTTCCTGATGTACTAATCCAGAGGGACAGGAATTCAACCAAGACCACCTCAAGGCAATTGGACACGTTAAGACTGAAAGACAAAAAGCTCAGGCCTAAGACCTACAGAGAGTTACTAACTGTTCCACTGGAGCTACTCCTGCAAGCGAGTAGTGTGCCGGGTAGCAAGGCTTTGTGGATCCAACCCCAAGTCCCTATGCCTTTGATGAAGTTACTCAGAGAGCTGAGGGACTCTGGCTTTTCAAAAATCTGTATTTTTTTTCTGCTTGAAGAAGAGTTTTGAGGAAATATTAGACAATTCCATCATGTTAACAACTGGTAGTTTCCCCAAAACAGATCTTAAAAAAAAAAAAGAGAGAGAGAGAGAGAGAGGGGGGAGGAAGGTTTCCTTCAAACACTATCAGAGCCCTAAGCTACCAGCAAATCTTTGTTACAGCACCAGACTGCACGTGCACTCAGCAGTTCCCAGCAGCACTTCTTCATTTTACCCAATGCTGTTATCCTTACCTTTGTGTACTGGCTGGATGGAAGGAGGTCCACAAACACCTTTAAATCAGTTAAACAGCAGGGTTTGTCCCCAAACTTTTTGAAGTATTGAAACATTAGTTCTTCTGGGTCACCTAACAGAAAGGCCAGTTCAATTTTGTAAAAGGTTCCATTAAAAGCAAGGTCTATAATACTGGTACGATAAATATGAGCATAGTCATATGCAATTTCCTACATTCAAATTTAAACAGTGATTTACAAACTATGATATCCCCCTTCAGATTTTAGAGTCAACAAGACGGCCTAACTACTGATAACCAATGAGTGACAAATGACAAATCTAGGAGAATCTTTCAAGCTATCCAAATAGACAAAAACTCAATGCAGTGGCTTCATCTTAAATAATAATATAAAAAGTTTATTCACTTAGATTTTAGTACAAAGGAGACTACTGGAATGCAGAAATGTCATTAACAGGCATCAAATTCTCTCCCTCACTTCCTTCCCAAATGTGTTTGTTAAAGCCACTAATAACTCCCCATAAGTATGTCCAATAAGCCAAATTGTTTGCAACCACACAAGGCTGCTAATGCACTCAAAGAAACATCACCCACTAATTAAAAACCAAAAAATGACAGAGGGGTTTTTCCAAAGGGCCAAAGAAATGTACATTTATTGGGAGTTTACATTCCTAAATCCATTAGACATCTTTGACAGCCTTTCCCAAAGACCGTTTCCCAAAGCCCTGGAAAAAAAAAATCTTGTCCCTCTCAAACACTTTTCATCTGAACATTTCAAAATACTTCATATGTGAAACCTTTGCAACACACTAAACACCAGGCACCATTAAACTGATAATCCAAATATGAAGGGCTTGCTCTAGTTTTATGTTCTCTCCCTTAAGGATTAATTTTTCATCCAATTAGTGGCTCTTACCTAGTTTATATTCATTGTTGCAACCTCTGTGCTGCAAACGTCTAATCAGCTCCAGTTTAGCTAGGTATGGTCCCCGAAGTGGCCGAGAGCTCTTTGCTTCTTCTGTTATCCTTTCTTCTACAAACTTCACAGCTTGCTCTACAGAATAATGCACCTCTCCTTCCAAAGAGCTGTGCAATTAAAGAGATGAACAGGCTCGGCCTTTTCCTACTCATGAAGCCCAGGCAATAATTTGTCAAAATGCCCCATAAACATTCCCTCAAGGTAGTCCAGGGTGGTAGATTAACTCCTGCACAGGAAGCAGGCTGGGAAGCCTTGATCATGCCAAAACTGTTATTTACACCAGTGCTTCCAGAAAGGACCAGTCTCAACATTCAAGCAACATGGGCCTACAGCCAGGAATACACTAGGTATGTAGCTCTTACACCAATTCCTTACATACATCTACTAAGATAAATTAGTAAGGGACAGGACTTACGAATATTTTGGCACTCTACAGCACAGAGAAAAAACCTGAGCGGTATTTGTTAACTTACTGCTCTCCTTCTGCTGGAGGAGTCCAGTTGTAGTCAATCAGTTGGAAAATTGACTCAAAATAAGTTATATAGAACTGCCAATCATCTGAGCTGAAGCAAAAAGACAAGATGCGAAATTTAGAAAAGTGCAAACCAAGCGACTCATACATGCAACTCTACTCCTTGCAAAATATAAGTGTTAAATAAAGGACAAGATGAGTAGACTACTGAAGGTTACAGGTAGAAAAACAATACTGTACCAAGAATTATTTCTACTGCAAAAAGCTTCACCCTGGAGCGACACATCATCTAAATTACCTAACATGACTTAATTTGAGAAACTGTTTGTGATACAGCTTAGCCTGATTTTTAAGTTCCTGTACCATAATTCTTTTCTGGGATTTCTGATCTCTTGTTGACATTTATAAAGATGTCTTTCCAGCAAGGGGAAACATATGGGTTCAAAAGCTATTCCACCAGACTGCTAATGCAGGAGACAGGAGGTTCCAACTGACAATCAACAAAACAGTGAAACCAGCTATAAGCAGGGTACTGTAAAATCTAGAAAGTAGACTAAAAAAACTTGAATGCATTTGTTTTTCAGCTGTGGCAACCTTCAGTGTTACTAGGTGATTTTTTTGTCAGATACACGAATTTTGAGTGGGTGTCTCTCTAAGCAGATGCTTTAAAGTCCCTGTCTAAATTTTCCACTACAAATACAGTCAGTCTTTAAGGAAAGAACATTTTTTTCCTCAGTAAGATGTTTTTAGTGACCCTTTGGATGGTGGTTCCAGACCGGATGCCATTAACTGTGTTTCAGTCCATAATAAAACTCATACAGCTGCTCTCACAGGCAGATCTGATCATCCTGGCTCGCTTCGATGCACAGACACACATGGGTTCAAACCACTTAGTACACTTCCCAGAAGGACACCTGACAGATTAAGGGAGCTGAGCAGATCTCGGAAATAAAATGCAAATATAATTTTTTATATTCTTTCTGGGCTGGCTCTCTGGAAGCATAGAAGGAAATTAAATCAACTTATTTTGGAAAAAGGACATACTGCATGACTCTTTGTTCACTGTGGAAGTCAGCCAGGCTTAGGACTGGACTAATGATAATTTGCAGTCATAAGCACTTCTTATCAGAAAACCCCAGAAGTACATTACTAGTCTCACAAGCCTTGAGAAAGAGATACCAGTGACAAAGTGACATACCCAAGGTTACAGGGTGAGTCAGCAGCACAGAAACTCAAACACTCTGTAGACATCTTAACTTGAAGTCTTCGTTTTCAACTGCTTCAGGCACAATCTCCACAATAGCAACCAAACAGGGCAACATAGATTTCCCTGGGGCAATTTTAATCTTCTGCTCATTTTTAGTTATTTTTTATTTATTTTACAGTAGCCAAAATTCCAACTTACTTTTTCAATAGCAGCCTCCGAGACAGCGCGTTGCATTCTGGCCACTTGCCCAGCTTCTTGTACATTGCCATACACTTATTCTCTCGACTTTGGAGTTCACTTGTCAACTTCTCTAAATTAAGAGAAAGTTGTGAATTTAGTCAGTCGCCATCTATCCATACACTCAGAACAGAGACTCTTACCCAATTACAAGAATGCAAAAGGGAAAACGGTCTCAGGGACTAGAGGGCCAGAAGCAAGGTCCAAAACTAGTGCTACAAAGCACCACCTTAACTAGGAAATCAATGGACAGGCTGAAGCTCGTATAAGCCTTCAAGTCAATAGCACTGGAAATGAGCACTTCAGTTAGCATAAAATTGACAGCCCTAACAATTATTTTAAGAGCTGGTATTCTAGCTCTGCTATGTTTTGGTGGATAAGCACGTATTTTTTCAAACAAGGGAACATGCTGTAACTGTGATCAGAAAGGAAATATTTTATCCTACTTTGGGGCCAACAGAAGACAAGAGGGGAATGAACCTGCACATTTATACAATCTAATAAAACAAGCATCCACTCAGCTATTCACACCTTTCCTTTAGAAAGTAGATCAGGCTAAATACAGAACTGCAGAGTCCAACAGGAACCTAGTTCTTCACCAACAAATGCACTTTTATGGCATAAACATGGAGTAAGGGGCATAATCTAATTTCTGGAAGCACTAATTCTAGGCTGGTGCTGAGGAGCAGATGGAACTAGCCGCAAAGTTTGTAACTACTGTTATGAGTTAAATTAGTTTATGTTTAACTTCAAAGTACAGTATAACCTCAAAAATCTAGAATTATCGAATATCAGGCACTTTTAAAAACTATACTCCATTGGGGGAGTAGTGGGAGCCAGTCCTGGAGCAGTGGAAGGGGAAGTTTGCACACAGCGGCTGCCACTGCCATCCACCACTCCACACTGCCACTTTGCATGCAGCCACTGCCCCAGGACTGGCCACCGCTACCCCCTACTACCCCCCGCCCTCCCTCAGCTCTGGTTTAAAAAATCTGAAATGTTCGCATTTCTGGCAGGTGCTTGGTCCTAAGCATGCCAGATTCACAAAATTATACTGTAGTACATATGCAGAATTTGCCAATTAAATACACTGAAAACCTTCCCCAAAAAAGTCTGAACATATCACACCTCCATACAACCATAGTTATTACTTGACAAACCTTTCTCTAAAAATTACCTCCTAGTTTTCCTCTAACAACACTCAAGGCTTCTTGATACTTCTCCAAGCGTTCCAGAATCATGTAGTAAAGTTCAACCTTGAAGAAAGAGATTAGGGTATGTTGACATGCGCGAAGAAAACAAGTTAGAAAAAAAGCGGTTTATGTGCAAAGAAAACAAGAGTGTCTGGAAATAAATAGCGGTTTGTGTTACTGTCATTAGGAAGAGGAGACAGCCAACACTACCTGTTAGACTAGTGATGCCAAGTGTCACAGAGGAAAATTCAAGAAGATTTTTTCCTACTTTTTGTCCTACAGTATCTCCAGGGATTTGCACATGCTAGAAAGGAATCACTTCATGTATCAATCAACTCATAATTTTGCCCTACCCCCAGTTCCTGTGCTCTTCTACATCCTCTCTCCTCATTACTCTTTGTATTCCTCCTCCTCTGCCTCTATTTCACACCTTCTTCATGTATTCCTGATACTTGTAACAGTCCTCTGTTCCCTGCAGACAAACCAACCTCTCCCCACAACACCCATCTCAAACACATCCTTCTTTTCTGAGCAACGAGCTGACTGCTGAGATTCTTAGCCCTTTTTGCATCTAAATGGCTCCCCCGTTTATCTTCTAATTTCAGTTTTCAGTTATAATTTTTTAATATTCATTTTCATGGTGTAGCTGGTTATTGGTATGCTTTGTAACTTTCTAGAAAACTGTTGTATAGGTTCACATGAATTGCCACTACACAAATTTGTGTAGATATTCTTTTCATTAGTTGTGAAAATTGTTTTTTAAAAACTCCTTCAAAAAAATGAGGCTCTTTGCAGAACTTATTTCACGTTTTCAGTCCGCACATAACTGTGTAAGAAAAGGTGCTTTACCACACTGGTTTGCACGACCAAGAAGAGAACCCCAGACAGCATGAGCAGATGTATGCCAGCAAAAAAAGGGAATGGGATGTGAGTTTCACTGACAGCCCCTCTGAAAAAAGCTCATACCTCTCTGAACCTCTTTTTGATGTTTTCATCGTGATTTGGTAGTGAGTTTTCATCATGATCTGAAGTGAGAGAGCTAGCACTGACTGGCCAGCTGTCCCTGGATCCCTACCACAGTGCTCTGTACATTTAATAATAAAATGTTATGAAGCACCATAATGGAAACCACACTCTTTACCAAATATGCTATAAATGTGTTTGAGTTACGCTGCTGTCATAACACAGCACTCGTACAATCTATCAGTGATGCTGAAGTCAAGTAGAAAACATCTGTAAATCTTACTTCGGCCTCTGCTTCAATCTTCTCCTCCTTCACCATTTTTTCCACCATTCTTTCGGCTAGAGGCAAAAACATAGTTTTCGAGAGGTTTTCATCCTGGGCTGAAATAGACTAGGCACAGAGAAGAATTACTGTAATGTCTCATCAGCCTTTCACTTTGCCCCAGTGAAAACTGCATTTGTTTTCCTTCTTGTGAAATGAATCATGCTACAACCAAAGAATACCCATTTGGGGCTAGCATCATTAATAGTACTGTGTCTGTGTGTGCAAAATGAGTTTCTGCTAAAAACCTAATGACAATGTGGGACTCTCTGTATTCAGACCTCCATGATCAAACATAACTAGTAAATACCACATCTGAAGAACAAATTAATTTCTTCTACAATCAAACTATTTTCAAGCACAGTTATTATTTCCCTACTTATTTTTGGCCTGATCAAGGCACAAAGGAAATTTACTTAATCTTTAAGTCTGTTACCTTTACTGATTACAACAAAGCATGTTTTGCTTCCACCTCCTGTGCCCAAAAGACACCCTGGTAAGGGCAGGCCTGACGTCCTAGATGCTTTATAACCCAGTCACAGAAAGGAGCAGTTCCGTTTTGAGGCATTGCAGAAAGTGATTGGGCAGACAATTCACTTTTTAGTTCTAAGTAAACAGAACTAAAAGGAGAAGTATGGCACGAAGTCTTTGCATTAACAACTGAAGTGAAGTGATTTTGTTGATCATGAATTATATCAAAAAGTATGATCCCATTCACTTATACAGAAAAGAAATGCCAGATAAATATCTGCACTACACAAAGGAGGCAGTCTGGGGAGGGATTAATATTTACTCTAGTATTACACAGAAAGAGCAGCTGGTTTACTTAAAGCAACTGAGCCATTTTCACAACAGGCCCGGAACATATTTAATAACTTCTTTGCCTCTGTCTTCCTCAGTAAGGACCAGAACTGCCACCTCCCTGCTGGGCCCCCTTTGGCCCCGGGGGAGGCTCACCTGGGCCTAGGGTGAGTGAGGATTTAGTTAGGGAGCTTCTGGAGGGGCTGGACGTTTTTAAGTCAGCCGGCCCGGATGATCTTCACCCTAGAGTCCTGAAGGAACTGGCTGGGGTCATTGCAAGTCCCCTGGCGCGGCTTTATGAACACTCGTGGTGCTCTGGAGAGGTGCCGGAGGACTGGAAGAGGGCCAACGTGGTTCTCATCTTCAAAAAAGGGAGGAAGGAGGACCCGGAAAACTACAGGCCAGTCAGTCTTACCTCGATCCTGGGCAAGCTGTTCAAGAAAATTATTCTGACACACATCCAGGAGGGGCCAGCAGGGAACTGCATGCTTAGGGGCAACCAGCACAGGTTCATCAG